TTGTAGCTACAAATAAAGTTAGAGAGGTAACCAAACGTTCGATAAGGAAAGGTTAACGAACAAATCCATAAACTAAGGAATGTGAATTTTTCCTGAAAGCAAAGGGGACGCCAGGCGGACACCTGAGCCGGAGAGTAACAGGGTTGTGTCTCTGGCGACACGGGGCACAGAGAATACAGCACCCACGCACCACAGGGACTGAATGCATGTGGGGGATTACCAAGAAAGGAGCGAATCCAAGCCCAAGGCCACAGCAGTGCGGTCCAACAGAACTTTCTGTGATGCCGGAAAGGGTCTCTGCCGAGCGATCTGACGCGGTGGCCGCTGGCCAGCCACATGTGACTACTGAGCGCTTGAAATGTGGCAGGCGGTGGGGCCGAGGAACTGGGTTTGTATTTTTATTTCATCTGAATTGAAGCGAAGCAGCCTCATTTTGCTAGTGGCTCCCCAGCGTGAGCCCCAGATTTCGGAGAAAAATGCTCAACTCAATCTGAGGCAGTGTAGAATGCGCTGAGGACAGCCCCCGTTAAGCAGTTCAACAGGAGTCTGGAGTTCCCAAACGTGGCTGAAGCCACTTCTACCACTCAGAGAAGCAAATAAGTAGGACAAAACTGAGGAAGTGAAGAGCAAAAGAAGTGAGTCAAAGAAGTTCAGGAAACGCTGAAACACAGAGACAAAGAGCCGCCCGCGGAGGAAACGGAGAAAAAGCCCAGCAGCAAAGGAAACTTCCCGAGAACAGCATCTGCGAAGGTGATGGGTGAAGGAGGTTCAAGAAGAAAGAGGAGGGGCAGATGCCGTGCAGAAGGTCATGGGAGGGGGGGATGCTTGGAGGGGCACTGGGGTGTCTCCGCTCAGCGGGGTGAGGCGCGGCCACCGACGGGCAGAAGGGCACCGTCCTCGGCTCAACCCGCAACGCTTCCGAACAACAGAACTCCATTCGATGAAAACACTAACCCACTGCCCACCAAGCCAGGTTCGGAGTCAGCCAGGGTTAGAGCTGGGCGCTGGACACTGGCCACCCCCAAGTGTCCACTTAATGCTCACTTTGCTGGGCTTACTTCTCTGGATACTGGGAGACTGACTTCTTTCTTTTCCTTCTCACCACATGGCCACTTAGTATTTACTCATATTAAAAAGAGTGAATACATTTTCTTTCTTAAGATTTTATTTTATTTTTATTTTTTAATCTTAATATTTATTTTTGAGAGACAGAGACAGAGAGAGAGTGTGAGTGGGGGGAGGGGCAGAGAGAGAGGGAGAAACAGAATCCGAAGCAGGTTCCAGGGTCCGAGCTGTGAGCCCAGAGCCCGACACGAGGCTCGAACTCACGCACTGTGAGATCGTGACCTGAGACGAAGTCGGTCGCTCAACCGACTGAGCCACCCAGGCGCCCCAAAGATTTTATTTTTAAGTAATCTCTATACCCAACGTGGGGCTTGAACTCACGACCTGGAGATCAAGAGTTGCACACTCCACTGAGTCAGCCAGGCACCAAGAATACATTTTCTTAAGGAAAAACTAGTTTTACATCCAAATATTTATTCGAATTCCCAAGTCCACTGGTAAGATTTACAAATTTTCTCTCATAAAAGTCGGTGGCAAACTCATTTATTATGGCGCTGTTAAAAATTTAAGTAATTCACATGACCTGGAACTCAAAACCGTATCAGAAAGAAATGGCAAAAAGTCCGTGCTGCCCCCGCCTTGGTCCCCAAAGCACAGCCAGACATGTGAATACTCATTTTTGTGAATTTCCTGTGTACGCGTCCAAGACTTTTCATGCAAATACAAAAAAACATTTCTCCTTTTTCCACATTTCTGACACAAAAGTAGGTTATTATTTATATTCTGTATCTTCCTTTTTTTCACTTGAACATATACCTTGGAAATCTTACCACATCAATGTAAAAAGGGCTTTCATATTCCTCTAACATCCTGACAATCAGAAGAAAAAGAAGAAAAAGAAAAAAAAGGAAAAGAAGAAAAAAAAAAACATCCTGACAATCAACATTAAACAGAAATTAAGACTGCAAATCCCAACCTTGAAAATAGGAGGGATTTATACAAGCCTGGGAGGCGCTGAGAGTGAGTTATCGGCCCTGGAATTTACTAATCATCTTTTAAATACCTTAAAACAACAACAACCCACAAAACCTGAAAGCAGTTAAAATCTACAACAGTTAGAGTAAGCCTATTTGCTTTCATGAGCTAAGAAAAACATTCTAAATACTTAAACCCTAATATATTTAAACCATAAATAAAATTCCTAGAGTAGTTTCTTAGAGGAAATAGGTGCTGTACTCATAAAAAAGGCTACGTATAAAGCTCCTTTACCCATTAAACACCTTTTGGAAACAGTTCACCAGCGAACCTCAGAGCAGGGCACTGGTGCATTTAACTCCAGTAATTACTGTCCAAAGCAGTGGACTTTGTGCGACAATAAAAGCGAGCGTCCCAGTTCGGCTGCTATGATCCTCAGAACTCACATCCTGCTCTAATGCAATTAGCCTACAGAGAGCTAATTACCTAACCGAGGGGTGGCAGTCTCACTGCCCTCTTACTTCCTCCAGCAGTAATAAACACCGGGGCTAAGACAGCACCTAATTAGCTGGCTGTATTAGTGTTTACAAGGCAGTTTCAGCTGACGATGTGTTCTCCGCATACAGTTCATTTCAAAGAATGCTTTCCTAGCCAAAAGAAACAGCTCTTTTCATGTTACAGGACAGCATTTTACAAAACCAGAAGAGGATTCTTTAGGGTAACATAAATCATCTGACATAACACAAGAGTTACCAACAACAGACAGCGCCTTTCAGCAGGCCGCTAGATGACACGGGTCCCTTAGCTCCTACCGGGGCCAGTGCGGATTTCTGCCCCATGTGCTCTGTTAAATACTTTTCTGTTAAATTTTCAAGCAACCACTAACCTATCGCTCAAAGTAAAGAAAAATGTTTCCAGATTATAGGCACGCTTACCTAAACACAAATCAGCCACATTTTAATTTGTATGTGTTGTTTTGTCCCTTCCAAAAGCTTATTTCAAAGTTTAGAAAAACAAAAATGTCAGAGTGCTGGAGTAAGTTGTCAAGGGCAAGCTGGTAAAAAGTCCTACAGGGAAGCCGAAGAGGCATGTAACATACGGGTCTACAATGCAGGCATGAGTCCAATGGGTTTGTCTGTTTGTTTGTTTGAAATAGACTTTGTTTTATTTTTATTTATTTACTTTTAAACCTTAGGTTCAAATGGTTTTTTTTTTTTTTTTTGTAATATTTATTTTTGAGAAAGAGAGAGAGACAGACAGAAAGTGAGCAGGGGTGGGGCAGAGAGAGGGGGACAGAGGATCCCCAGCAGGCTCTGCGCTGACAGCACAGAGCCCGACATGGGGCTTGAACTCAAGAACCGCAAGATCATGACCTGAGCAAGTCAGACGTTTAACTGACTGAACCACCCAGGTGCCCCGATTTGATTTGATTTGATTTGATTTCATTTCATTTATTTCATTTCATTTCATTATTTCATTTTATTATTTCATTTCATTTCATTTCAGAGAGAAAGAGAGAGTGCGTGAGCAGGGGAGAGGGGCAGAGGTAGAGCCAGAGAAGCCTAGGTAGGCTCCACACCTGGAGTAGAGCCCGATGTGGGGCCTGATCGATGACCCTGCGGTCATGACCTGAGCTGAACTCAAGAGCAGGACACTCAACTGACTGAGTCACCCAGGGGCCTTGAATCCAATGTCTAAAAAAGGTGGCTAAGACTAAACTCCACTTCCGCTGCCAAGATACTCTAAGAAAACAAGCTTATTTACAGGCCACTTGAAAGCCTCACAGGCCAGGGAAACAGACTCACAAAGGATCAGTTGGTTTAGAAAAGAAAAACAAACTTTCATTTTCCATGAAACGCCTGCACACTTGAATATTCTGTATCATATCTCATCAGAAAGTAGCGGGCAGGGGTGCCTGGGGGGGGGGGGGCTCAGTCGGCCGAGTGTCTGACCCTTGGTTTCGGCTCAGCTCACGATCTCACGGATCGTGAGTTCAAGCCCCGCATCAGGCTGGCAGCGTGTAGCCTGCGTGGGATCCTCTCTCCGTTCTCTCTCTGTCCCTCCCCTGCTTGCTCTCTTTCTCTCTAAACGTTTGGTAGAATTCCCCTAGAAAGCCATCCAGCCCTGGACTCTTGTTTTTTGGGAGATTTCTGATTACGAATTCAATTTCTTTACTGGTGACAGGTCTGCTCAAAGTTTCTATTTCTTCCTATTTCAGTTTTGATAGTTTGTATGTTTCTAAGAATTTGTCCACTTCTTCCAGACTACCTGACTTATTGGCATATAATTGCTCGTAATATTCTCTTATTGTTTGTATTTCCGCTGTGTTGGTTGCGATCTCTCCTCTTTCATTCTTGATTTTATTTACTAGGGTCCTTTCCTTCTTCTTTTTGATCAAACTGGCTAATAAGGGTTTATCAATTTTGTCAATTCTTTCAAAGAACCAGCTCCTGCTTTCACTGATCTCTTCTACTGTTTTTGTTTTTAATTTCAATAGCATTGATTTCTGGTCTAATCTTTATTATTTCCCGTCTGCTGATGGTTTGGAGTTTTTATTTGCTATTCTTTTTCCAGCTCTTTAAGGTGTAAGGTTAACGTTCTCTCTCTCTCTCTAAATAAATAAATAAACTTTAAAAACCAGCAGATAAGGGGCACCTGAGTGGCTCAGTCGGTTAAGCATCCGACTCCGGCTCAGGTCATGATCTCACGGTTCGTGCGTTCGAGCCCCGCGTGGGGCTCTGTGCTGGCAGCTCGGAGCCTGGAGCCTGCTTCAGATTCTGTGTCTCCCTGTCTCTCTGTTCCTCCCCAGCTCACACTCTGTCTGTCTGTCTCTCAAACATAAATAAAGAATAAAAACAACAACACAGCACATAAAGCGGACACAGATGAAGCCCGGGCAAACCACCGGGGGGAGGAAAGCGCACTTTGGTGTTCACATGGTGACCACAGCGGAGACTTGCCTGACTTTGGGCACCGCCATCCGATGCTGCACCATAAGCGTGTGGCCGATGGACGCCATCAGAGCGAAGGCCTCCTCGCTGGCTGAGTCCCGCCAGACCAGGTTTAACAGGGTGTTGGTCTGCTGTTTCGTGTCCAACTTCTTCAGACACTCCTCTGTTATGTAAGGTACGGACAGCCTCCCATCCTCCTAAAACACACCAGATAAACTGCTCTAAGTGAACGACGTGTTATTAGAAATGACCCTCTACGCTCCCAACACACATAACATCTTACTTTACTTCAAGTAAAAATACGAAAGAGCCATTACCTAAAAGTTACCCACATCACAACGAACGTATCAATCTCTCTCCGAATCAAATTCTCCAGAGATCCATAGTCACTGTCTATCTTAGGCACTAATTTTGCCCAGCATAACAACACAGGAACGGTAAATGCTCAGTTTTTGCCTACCGATGGGACAATATTTTCAGTACTGACATTTTAAGAAACGTTTATTTCATATTTTTAGACGCCATTGTACTAAGCATACATGTGTGGGAAAATATTCTCATGTGACAGAACCTCCACTTTAAATCATTTAGGAGATCACAGGTTAAGCAAAAATAGGGTATCAAAGAATTTATTTTTTTCTATCTTAATTTCTTTAAAGATCTGATTCACCGATTAAAACCTGAACTAAGATGTTACGCATTTACCTATTTGGGGTATTAATCAAAGATATATCCTTGTTTCATAGATGTATGCATATATCCAAGTATATATTAATATGAGCATATATACACAACACTGGATATTGTTGACTGCCCTGCTTGGAAACTTAGACTGGTATAATCTATGTAATTTATAATAATCTACCAAATAAAACATTGCTTTAGATAAAAGTAATAAATTCTACCTGCCAACCTCAAATCTGTAAATAACATGCACCTAATGAAAGGAGTTAGAACACTGGTACTATTTAGTAGTGCACACATTTGAAGTAAATTACACACAAAGAACTGAACCAATTACACAGAAACCCAAGAGTCTATAAACAGTGAAGTCTGGGGGCGCCTGGGTGGCTCAGTCAGTTAAGCATCCGACTTCGGCTCAGGTCATCATCTCACGGTTCATGGGTTTGAGCCCCGCACTGGGCTCTGTGCCGACAGCTCGGAGCCTGGAGCCTGGAGCCTGCTTCGGATTCTGCGTCTCCCTCTCTTTCTGTTCCTCCCCTGCTCTCACTCTGTCTCTCTCTCTCTCTCTCAAAAATAAATAAAGATTAAAAAAAAAAAATTAAAAAAAAAAACCAGTGAAGTCTAACTCTGGAAAAATCCTATTTGATCAAATTAGATTCTAAATAATTATCATAGGAAAGAAAAGGCAATGTATAAGCAGCCATCAGAAGATGTGACCCAAAAATAAAGATTTTAAGTCAGTCTGTAAGTACCTGGCCTACACCCGGGTCACTGGTTGTGAACCCAAATGTGGACAGGAAAGAAGTGATAATAACCAAGGCCAGGGAAAAATGAAGAGAAAAAGAGTGAAAAAGAAATGGAAGTACAAAGTTATATATCTAATAAAATAGACCTTGAAACCCTTGTGTATTACACAAGAGAAATAAAGTGGAACCCCCCCCCCGAATGTAGGTAACAAAATCAAGCTGCACTTTTTACATATTATAAAACTGTAACCACGAGCAAGTGAGCTCAGTGTTTTCTGCTTCCTGTGTCTTCATATCCCACTGTCACGTCTGTGTCCCCAGTGAGGAGGGGTTTCCTAACATCCCTCCAGCAGACAGACATAGCCCCATCCTTCACATAGGTACCAATTATATTGTGTATAAACAGCATTTTAATTTCACAGATTCTCTAGAAGGTAATTAAGCATTAAAAAAAATGTCTTCTATGGGGCGCCTGGGTGGCTCAGTCGGTGAAGCGTCCGACTTCAGCTCAGGTCATGATCTCGCGGCTTGTGAGTTCCGAGCCCCCCGTCAGGCTCTGTGCTGACAGCTCGGGAGCCTGCAGCCTGCTTCGGATTCTGTGTCTCCCCCTCTATCTGCCCCGTCCTGCTCATGCTCTGTGTCTCTCTGTCTCTCGATAGTAAATAAATGCTAAAAAAAAGAAATTTTTTTTAATAAAATAAAATTAAAATAAAAACAAAAGTTTTATCTACATTCCAGCTACAGAATCCCACTTTTTCTTTTTTTTATCGTAAGAAAAATTCACATTTTGGTGTGCAGTTCTGAGCTTGGACGGGTGCAGGAGTCCCAGCACCCACCGAAACATTCCGTTCGGCCCCTCTGTAATCAACCAGCCCTTCCCCCAGCCAATAAGCTTAGGGCAATGACTAACGTGTTCTCGTACTGTTAGGACTGTTTTCATCTCTGCTAACAAAGCTATGTGTGTCCAGAAGGCAGTACTAACAAGCCTTTCACTGACTTCCCCTGGAAAACCCAACCACTCCTCGGTATATTCGTCCTGGGATTCCATTTGGTATTAATCAACAGGAAATTCCCTAACAAAAAAATATAACGTTTAATTTAAACCTATCACAGCCATATCTCAAGTTATTTCAATTCTGTAAGAAGAGCAAAAGAGGCCAGCAGCAGATATATCACTGAAGACATAAATTATGTGTATCATGCGAAGCTTTTTATTCCTTGGAAAGACACTGCAGATCATGCTGAGTAAGAAACAGGAGAAAAGGACTTACACTGCATGTGATGACGCACTCGCAATTCACTTTCAAATAAATCGTTACGCTTGCCATCCACAAAACTGGCAAAAATTAACAGCAGACGTGACTTGGCGTTCACAAGACAGGGTAAGGGAGAACTTAACCTTTTTCTTCCCCTTGGGGTTGGGCGAAGGGTGGGGGGCAGCAGCTGCTGATGGGCCGGGCTTCTGCGCAGACCATGAAAATGCTCTATCAGAGTGGTGGTGGCTGCACTTAGGTTAATATACTGAGAAATCACTGAACTGCACATCATTTTTTTAAAAGGGTAAATTTTATGGTAAAGTGTATCTCCATAAAGCTGCTATAAAAAAATTCTTAAAAATAAAACAGTGCTTGGTGCACAGTAAATGCCCTTCCTGAAAACTAGGAACTTAACCTTTCAATCCAACAATTTCAGCTCTAGGAAATATCTCCTAAGTAACAAGTTAATGCACAGTATGGCCTACTTTGCATGAAAACCCCACATGGACTTGTACACAGGAGAAGGTGTGGAAGAACTATCCTCACTCCCTAATGGCGGGGACGGTGACCTCGGGAAGGACAGGGCGGCAGTGGAGGGGAAGGGACTTTTTCTGTAGTGGGAAGGTTTTACAAGAATGCTTCAGTGCAGGAGTCACACAGCTAAGAAGAAGGACGGACACAAAGCTACGAGTGACCTGAAAATCAGGGGGAGTGGTCTCCAATGCAGCCCCTGGGAGCTTACCGGAGCGCTCGGCTGCTTGTCTGCCTCTTCACTCTCGTCCTCCGAGTCGCTGGCCGGGTCCTGACAGCTTGTGCTGGCCGGCGACGCCGGCAGCCGAGACAGCGAGCTCTGGAGCACCCGCAGGTACACCAGCAGTCCTTCCTCAGAGAGGGTCCCTTTGGAAAACAGTCGACGGTAACGTTTTGGTAAAAGCAAGCAAAAAGAAACTAGAAAACTCAGGTATCATCCTTCTTACACTCAGAGAGACATTTCTGACCAGAATGTATTAAAATTCTAGTAATTCAGGTATAGATGTATGTATTAAGATACATCAGAAAAATATGCTATAATTCCAGAAGAGGCACATATTAGGAAGTTTGGCATGAATGGGATAACATCCCTGCGCTCACAGTTCTCCCTCAACTTTTTTTTCATGTTTTTATTTCTTTTTGAGACACAGAGAGACAGAGTGCGAGCAGGGGAGGGGCAGAGAGAGAGGGAGACGTAGAATCCGAAGAAGGCTCCAGGCTCCAAGCTGTCCAATGCTGGGCTCAAACCCACGAACTGCGAGATCATGACCTGAGCTGAAGTCGGACGCTGAACCGACTGAGCCACCCAGGCGCCCCAGTTCTCCCTCAACTTTAAAATTCTTTTTAGTCTGTGTGGCCTCGTAACAGGTATCTGAATCAGACACTTTTTTTAAAGACTGTGTTTTTTTAAGTTTATTTATTTTTAATTGTTTCTTACTGTTTATTTTTGAGAGAGACAGAGACAGAATGCAAGTGGGTTAGGGGCAGAGAGAGAGGGAGACACAGGCTCCAGGTTCCGAGCTGTCGGCACAGAGCCCGACGCAGGGCTCAAACTCACGGGCTGTGAAATCATGACCTGAGCCGAAGTCGGACACTCAACCGACTGAGCCACCCAGGCGCCCCTAAGCTTATTTATTTTGAGAGGCAGAGAGGGAGAAAGCGAATCCCAAGCAGGCTGCGCATTGTCAGTGCAGAGCCTGACTTGGGGCTCGAGCCCATGAACTGTGAGATCGTGACCTGGATGCTCGACCAACTGAGCCCCCCAGGAGCCCTTTAAAGATTTTAAAATAATGTCTACAGTCAACATGGGGCTTGAACTCACAACCCCCAGATCGAGAGTCACATGCTCCACTGACGATGCCAGCCAGGCGCCCCTGAATCAGTCTTTCTCCTGTGCCTGGAAATTTTCCCCAGGGACACTGTCCAAGCTACAGACCTTCAGCAAATACGCTCTTCCAGGAAATTCCGCCCCAGAGGCCATCTTGACAACACACACCCGCCCCTGGATTCCCTTCGTGTGACTGGTCTGCTAGCACTACATATACGTGAGGTCAGGTAAATCCTACGCTGTATCTCATACCCAGGTAAGTCTCGCCGACAGTGAGGACAAAGAAGAAGAGCCACGGCGCCCCTCCCCCCGTCTCGGGACACCTGCTCTCCGGCGACAACAGTGCACTCAGAAAGGGCTCGTACGGGAAAACAGTCTGCGCGTCTGCTAAGGCCGGAATGATGAAGTGAAAAATCTGATCTGTAAAAGGTGCCACCAAAAACGCCTCGGTGAAGGCTGTAAAAACTTGTTGCCTGAAAAAGGAAAATGGAAGCTTTCATCAAAACATGTTATTCATAAAATCACTGATGAAAATTAACTTTCCAAATATTCTCTTCTAAATTAAATGAAGCTGAACATCCAAAACCAACTAGGTCGCCATGAAATTTACTTAACCGATTTTGTGCCTTCCCTACCGAGAAAACTCTGCTGCGTCTTTCGATCTTTCAATAGCTACTCAGAGGCAAGAAAATAACCAGGTCATCAGAATTATAAGTTTATGTTAGGGCACAGGCCAAACAGATAGTAATTTTTTTTTAAACTGAGTCACGTTAATAAAGTAAAAATTTGACTTTCAAATCTTTATGTAAAATAGCATACTATGTAAAAGTTATCATTAGATACAGAACTTGTGACCTTACAAAATCAATAAATTATTCCATTCTCACCTTGCACCTTCAGGACACGAGTTGTAAGTAAAGTGCAATGGTTTCAGAACATTCTCTAGCAAAATTTTTGCTATAGGAACTCGAGATATATCAGAATATTCAATACTTGATGGAAGCTTGCTGTTAATTAACAAATAGAGAGATCTATAATACCCTAAAAGAAAGGAAAAGCACATATTTAAAATTTGGTACCTTCATCATAAAGAGAGGGAAAAAAGCGTCAATTTTTAAATGCTTTTGATAAATATATGTCCAAATTTAAGTTAATTCTTCAACTTTTTTTTTTAGAGACGGAGAGGGAGAGAGACAGCATTTGTGCAAGTGGGGCAGGGACAGAGAGAGACAGGAAGACAGAGAATCTTTTTTTTTTTTTTT